CTGCCCATTCACCATGAGCGCCCGCAGGGGGGCCGGCGCCCACATGGATGCCACCAATGCCTTCAAGCAGACGGCCTACGAGCTGCTGGACGAGAAGCTGCTCACCAAGAGCATGATGCAGCCCTTCAACTACATCACCCTGCAGTGCCTTGCTGCCCGCGCGCTGGACAAGCACAAGATCCCCTACAAAGGCTTCATCCCCGAGGAGCTCGAAGCCTTCATAGAGCTGCACTAGGGGGGCAGTGAAGCCCCTGGCCTTTCCCATCGGCTGCTCCACCCCGAGGTCTCAGCTCGTCCTTGTCGAGGTGCCCGTGGCCTTCGCTGCGCTGACACGGGCGCGGGTTTTGTCCTCATGTCCCCACGGATCCGGCGTGTGCAGGGGTAGCAGGAGACGCTCCGGAGCTCGTGGCTGTCCCTTGTTGTCACCTGCAGGTGAGCTGTATCCAGAGAAGGCTGCAGCCCCTGCCCTATCCCATGCCAACGTCTTGTCCTGAGGAGGAAGGAACATGGAGATCCCTGGGACCTTCTGCCTCTCCCGTTAGTGCTGGATTAACTCGGCTGTCGCGCTTTGGAGCAGCTACACAACACACGTGCTCTAGGGCTTCCCATCCCAAGTACTGAACAGATAGGAACACAAGCGAGGAATAAAATATCTTCCAACTAATTCTTCCCCTGCCCCTGTTGCAGATCTGGCACACGAGTAAAGTGGCCGAGTGGCTCGTGCTCTGCTGAGGTAGTTGCCTTGCATGATGGTAGGGCTGGGTATGCTGAAGATTTCTTTTTTTCCCCTTTTTCCTTGGTTGGCCAAGTAGCAAGTGGTGTTAAAAGGCCTGAGATTTCAATGATTGTGCATAAAGCTGGGTTATTTTTTCTCTTTTAGAGCCAGGCCCTATCTATGCTGCAAGACTCCTTCAATCCTGTAAGATAGAGTAAGGTCAGTTCTGGTTACAGTTTCATTGATAGGTGTTGGTCTGTTTGAATGGGAAGAAAATGTACAACCAAAAAACCAAAATAGAGCCGCGGAGCCCTGTGTGTTGTGCCCACGTTAGCTCCCTTTCCCCTATGGAGGCTCCATAGCTTCCGAGCTCGGTGGGAACGCGGGCTGGGCACAGGGATGTGGGCAGGTTGGGAGCCGAACCCGGCGCCTGGCACCGGCTCTGCAGCCTTCGGGCCGGGGCACCGGGCGGTCGTTAAAGCGAGCCCGTGTTTGTGGCACGTTTGCATGAGGGTGGCCCGAAGGAAGGAGCAAAGAAGAAACTCAGTTGAAGGTGCCTTCTGATTCCTCTAAGGTTTGTTAGTACCAACCCGGCGGGCCCTGAGTTATCCTGTTCTGGAAACCTTCCTGGAATGGGATGTTAACTTCTGGTGTTTGGCTTTTTTTTGAGATTTCCCCGAGGATGGTGCTACTTCAAGCATTGAAATTGAAATCTCCTTTGGCTACTGTTTGAGCAAGCTCCTTTCTTAATTAGGACCTGCACCCAACTCGTTTCGCTCTTTAAATCCCTAGTCTCAGGGTAGGTGTTTGCCTCTCACAGGTCCCTCCTTGGTGGTAAACAGTTGCTGTTGATAAACACGATGCTGTGGTGCCAGCAGGTTGTTTTCTTGCAGCGAGAATGACTGGGCTTTGGCAGCCTGGGGCTCATTCCTTGGCCTGGGCAGAGTGGAAAACGTGGTTGAGGATGAAGCAGCTGCCCCTGAGCTTTGAGCAAAGGTCAAGACTGGGAGAGCAGAGCCCTGATGAGCGCCCATGCCCTATATGCAACCGAAGCTTCTATACTTGTATTTATAAGCCAGCATATCCATAAGCTCAATAACCCAATGCTCTCTGCCTGTTAAAGATACTGTAGATCTGCCGTTACATTTTTGCAGTGTTAACTTTTATTTATGAAGCAAGGAGGTTTAACTTTTATCCGGCCGTAAAGCGGGGAGTTAGTTTAGCTCTGTTCTATTTTTTTTCTCCTCTTGGCTGAAGTCTGATCTAAGCTGCGGATATGGAACTTGTAAGTTTGTGAGCTGCTGAGCGCTCTTAACTTTAAATAATAAAACAAAAAATGGCTGCTAGAATGCAAGTGCCGTGGACTCTTTGCTGCTAAGCTTCTCCTTTCAGCTCCTGCTCGTTTTCTAGGGATGCTCCAGCTGTGGATTTGGAAGTACCTTGGTTTTGCAGTCAACAGGAGTGTGTTTCGTTTCACCTGGGTTTGCTCGGGGCTGCGACCACCTGCAGGAGGAGAACCCTGGCCCCAAACACCTCTGTGCCCCCCGTCAGCTCGCGGGGAGACGAGGCAGGGGGAGCGGATGGTGCCCGGCCGGCCGGGATGCCACCGGCATTGCTCCGGTTTGGGAATGCCCGCGGGATTGCCCGTGTTCTCCCGATGGCTGGCGCCAGCCAGGCTCTGTAAACCCAGCCAAAAGCAGAAGAATTAAAGGGACTAGAGTTAGTTCCCAATCAGCAGAGGAAAAAAATCCTCGTGAGACCAACCATTCTGTGTGACTGCAAAGGGCTTTTATTTATTTATTTCTTTTCAGAGCATAAATAACCTGTAATTAGGCAGTGAGGACCCAGCAATTAAATGTTGATGGTAATTGCTGGGTGGGAGAAATCACTGCACGGTTTTGGGCGTAATGACCATGAACAATCTTTCTTTATCGTGGGTGTTACTGGGCCAGCTCCAGTCTGAACAGGCAGTTGTGGGGAGCAAGGAGACGTTTCAGTGATGATTTTATTATTGGAGCAGCTATCCAGGACGAAGCCTGGGGGTGGTTTTGTGGGGATGGCTCTAGATCCTGCTGTGCCCGTTGCTCTCCAGGAGCCATTCCAGACACTTTGGGATGGAGGTATTTTCCCCCACGTGCATCTAGAGGTGCTTTCTGCTCTTTTAAGAAAAATAATGCCAATAACCGGCTCCCTTGGCCGTGAAGGCTCTCACAGAGGCTTCTTTGGAGGTGCAAAAGGGGTGCGAAATTCTCCCAGCGTTTCCCTGGAGCTGGTTGCTCCTTCCGTGGGGAGCTCTGGAGCTGCTGTTATGGGAATGAACAGGGTAGGTGGCCGGGGCGGCTCGGGCACCGTGTCAGCATCTCCGCCGTTCCCAGAGAAACCAGGGAGTGACTGGAGAGATCCCAAGCGCCACACACGTCTTTTCCTGGTGGAATTCCCAGCAGTGAGCGTCTCCGAAACCGCGGGACGAGGGAACCTGCTGCGGCTGAACCAGGGCCGCGGCTCCGATGTGGACGTTGCTCCCAATCACCTTGGAGCTTCTTGGCCTCCCACGCGCAAGATCAAAAAAACCTCCGAGGTTTTGCCGACTCCTGCCCGTCTTTCCCTTCCTGCAGCCCCAGCAAACTGGACGTGGCAGCCCGTGAGCTTGTTCAGCCGGAGCAGCCTCCGCTTGTCCGGTGGGTGTTTATCCATAGCCCGAGGAGGGCTGGCAAGGAGGGATGTGTCCGGCACCCCCGAGGGCAGCGGCTGTCCCGGGAGCTGCAGAGCAGCAGCCGGGCAGGGCTGGCAGCAACTCGACCCTTGCTCCAACACAGGTGACATCAGGGACAGAAAATAGGGGCTGGCCAAGGGCTTGGCAGGAGCAGCAGAGCCCGCAAGGGGGGAAAACCGCAAGGAAGCAAAAGTG